ATATAAAAATAAAAATTATTTCTTATTAAAATTATAAATTTTAATATAGAAAGAAAATTTTAATTTTCACTATATTTATTAGTAAATTTAATTCTTGAGTCATTACTTTTGATCATCACTATATATATTAACAAAAGAGATAATTATATAAGAATAATAAAATAATACTAATTTAAGTAAATATATCTTTTAAAAAGATTAGAATTAATTTGATAGAATTTTTTTTAGTAATAAATAAAAAAAATTACTATATCATAATTATTATTAATTATTTAATTAAATAGACTAAAGCAAAATCTATTACAAATACTTTTGTAATTTTAATTATTTTATTTTTTTATAAAGATATAGTAATAAGATATAAATTTTTAAAAGAAATATTAAATAATAGAAAAATTATATTTATTAATAAAATAATTAAAAAATTATTAAAAAATATTAAATTATATATTGACTAAAAATATTATCTTAATTAATTATAACTTATGATAGCTAATTAAAGAATTGTAATTAATTATGATAGCTAATTAGAGAATTATAATTAAGTTATAATACTATTTTTAATATTAACTATCTATTTCTTATTATTCTTAGATAAATAAATTAATAAAGAAACTAAATTAGATTTTATATGCTTTATTATCAAAATATATTCAATTCTACCAGAATTATTACTTATCTTTAATCTTGTTTACTTACAAAATAATAAAATAAAATATAATCTTATTTAAATTCTTTCATTTAGTATATAATTAATAAGCAATTATATTATTGAATATTAAGTTAAAAGACTTTAATAATCTTATTTTAAAGAAGTTCTTATTAAAAGAATATGTGAATTAATTGATAAAATTAAAACTATATGAGAATTAGCTCTTAGTAATATTCAAAAAAAATAGTTTAGACAAAAAAAATAATATAACAAGAAATAAAAGTTAATAATTTTTTAGATAAGATAAAAAATATTAATAAAATAAATGAAAACTTAATATTAGTATTATAATAAAAAATAAAAAAAACTATTCTATATTTATAAAGCTTATAATAAAAATATTTATAAATTTAAAAACTTAGATAAAAAAGTCTTGAAGAATTTTTATAATAGTAATTATTTAAAATTATATATTGAATTTAATAATTTAAAATTAGTTATTATAATTAATAATAATTAAAAATTTATAAAATGAATTTCTTAAAGTCAAGAGTCTTGTAATTAATTAGCTATTTTAAATGATATAGTAAAGTAATATGATAATATAATACAGTTATAATATGTGATATAATTACTAATTACTTTTAAATTAAATATATAAAAAATTAATAATAATTAATTTAATTTATTTATAATTCTATTTTTAATATATTTTATTATCTATATTTAATCTTATTTATTTATTAATTTAATTATATATATTATATTTAATTTATAATTTTATTAAATTAATAATTTTCTTAATTAGTTATTATTAATTTTTTTCTTTAATATTTTGTTAATTTTAATTTTTAATTATTTCATATTTAATTTAGAAATATTTTTTATAATAATTTTCTTAAGATTTTACTTATTTTTAAGTAAATTAGATAAAATATTATATTAAAAATAATTTATAATTAGTATAGCAAGAAAATATTATATATAAAGAGTCAAAAAATGATCAAGAAAAATAATTAAGTTTAGTAAAAGTAGTTAACTAGTATTTTTTTATAATTAATATACATATTTATTATATATTTTATTTTTATTTTCTTCTTGTTTTATTAAAAAAGTATTTTATTAGAAGTTAATATTTGTATAAATTATCTTATTAAAAAGATAATTAGTCATCTTAATCTTTTAAAATCAAAAAGTAAATAATTATTATAAATATAATTATTATTATTATTTTAAATTACTTATATATATATAAGTTTAAAATGATAATAATATTATTTTTATTCTATAATTTTAATAATAATAATTATTATAATAAAAATTAAGTTCTTATAATAAATTCTTATTTATTATTAACTTAGTTTTTTATATAACTTCTAAATTAATATTTTACTGATTCTTAAATTTTTATATAATTTTTTGATATTTTACACTATATAATAAGATTATAATTTTAATAATAATAAAAAAGATTAATATTATATATATAATTATATATGAATCTATCATTATCTTTATATATTAGATATTATATTTTTATATATAAATTTATTATTTTTTTATATAAATATATTTATAATATCTGATTCTAATCTTTTAAGTAAATAATTTTAATAACTTTTTACTAATTTTACTAGTCTTATTTAATAATAATAAGTACTTATAATTACTTTTAATAATAATAATAATAATAATAGTAATAATTAATTAAATAATAATATTATTATTATAATAATATAATATTTTTAATTTTATAATTTTTGAAAATTAAGATTTTTGATCAATTAGCTACTTAATAAAAAATATATAATTTTAAATAATTTAATTAGTAAATTAATTTTTAATTATATTATAATTTAACTTTACTTTAATAATATTTTAAAATTATATATATAATTTACTTAAAATCAAAAATAGTTTAATTATACTTCAAAAATAATTCAGATATAAATTTGAAATAAATTTTATTTATTTTTTTATTTATTATTAATTATCTTTTCTTTATAAAATATTTATCTCATTTTATTATTTATTATTTAATTTTAATTTTATTATTTATATTATTTTTTAATAAAAAATTTTAATTATAAAAACTTTTATTAAAATAAAATATTAAATATTTTTAAATAAATTTATTTACTAATTTATAAGTATATATATTTATATATTTATTAAATATAAGTAAAAATAGTAATTTTCAGTTTTTTTATTATATATTATAATAATAGAATTTTATAATTATTATTAATTAAATAAAATTTTTTTAAATTATAAATATTTAAGTAAATTTTTCATTATATAATTTTAAGATTTTTAATAATATTTTGATTAGATTATTTTTTATTTATTATTTTCATAATTATTTAAATTAAATATTAAATTTTTTACTTATTTTATAAATAATAATTTTATTTTTTATTTTTTTATAATATATAATAATTTTAATTTTTCTTGAATATACTAAATTCTTGATATTTTTTTATTATATATGTTTTTAAAGTATTTTTATTACTAATTATAACTATTATAATTAGTATATTTAATAAAAATATATATTTTTTTATATAAATAATAATAAATTTTCTTGTAAATATAATTATATATAAAGTAAAATAATAATAATAAAATTAAAAAATAATAAAAATTTTTAAGAATATTATATATATAATAATATTTTAAATATAATATAAAGAATTATTAAAATATAATTAAATTATTTAGTTCTTTAAATAAATAAAAAAATATTATTACTTATAAAATTATATGAATATTTCTTAATTCAAATTATTAAATATTTATTTAAATATTATAAAATATCTAACAAAATTATTATTTCTAATATATAAAGAATATCTTTTCTAATTTTTATATATATAATTCTATAAATAAAATATTCATTATAAAATATTTGTGATATACTTTACAAAATAATAAGAAATATTCTAAATAATTTCAGAATAAAACTCTTTAGAAAGAAAACTTTTATCCTATATATTATTAGATAGAATGATCTTTATATTGAAATAAGAATAGAAAGTCAAATAGTTCTATTGGATAATTAATGAATTTTTTCATATAATAAATTTTTTTGTATAAAATACAATTGTCATATAAATATAGAGATTTGCATTAGCATCAAAAATAATCAAATATTTATTTAAATATATTTATAAAGATCATGATAAAGCAATAATTGAAGTTGTTAAAGAGCATTAACAGCATAATCAATCAATTACAATTGATAAAATTAAAAACTTTATTGTATTATCTTCCTTGTAATCCATTAGGTTTCCAATTATATCAATATGTACTGTTGCGCTAAAAATAACGGTTTTTTAAAATAATTTTCTATTTACAAAGATTTTTTCGTGTTTATATAACAAATCGAAAATTAGTTTATTCAATAAATTTTGGGAATAAGTGCTTTCTCCGATCCTCCTTTACATGTGTAAAAAATAATGATTCTGTGATGTTGGACAGGAATGAAAATAAAAATTTTTATTCTGACGAAGAACTTGAATCACTCTCCATATACTCTTCTATCATTGCCGACACCATTCTGAAATTCTCACGACTTTCCTCAATCTCTCTCAACCTCTCTTTTTTTGCTTCCTCTTTTTCTCTCTGTTTTTCCTCCCATTGCCGATCACTCTCTGCAATCATTGCAGGGATATCCTTAAACATCAGTGGTGGTGGTTCAACACTTTTGAACAGCTTAGCAGCAATTCCCACTTTCTCCGAACGTATGTAATTTTGAGGTATCAATGGTGGCGAACACCGCTTTATAATAAAAATGCAATCAAAAAATATTTAGATAATAAGTTAGCTTAGAAGGTTCACAAATTTATTATTAAAACTTACGCCTGAAGACAAATCATCATCTGAGGATGATGAGTCTGATTCCTCTGTATCATTGTCATCATTATTTATTTCATTATCACTATCACTGTTCGTTTCACTATCACTATCATTGTTCGTTTCACTATCACTATTACTGTTCGTTTCACTATCACTATTCTTTTCGTGACCACTATCAATGTTCTTTTCGTGATCACTATCAATATTCATTTCATTTTCACTAACATTACTTTTTTCATTATCACTATCTTTATTTTTTTCATCATCAATATCATTATTTTTTTCATTATCATCGTCATTATTTTTTTCATTGTCATTATAGTTACCACCGACATTCTTTTCACTATCATTATCATTCAATTTTCTTGCAACTTCCTCTCTTGCTTCTTTCTTCAAATTTTCGTTAAACTCCCTTAACAAGTTTCGTATTTCTTCTTTCATCTCATTCAATTCTCTTGCAACTTTTCTTATTTCTTTCTTCGAATATTCCTTAAACTCTCTTAACAAGTTTCGTAATTTTTTCATCTCATTCAATTCCCTTGCAACCTCCTCTCTCATTTCTTTCATCAAATCTTCCTTAAATTCTCTCAACGAGTTTCGTATTTCATTGCCCAGCCCCTTTAAGTCATTGAAAAGGCCTAACTCTTCTTTTAAAACAAATTCATAGCCCAGTTCTTTGGCAAGCGAGTTTCGCAATAGATTGCCCAGCTCTTCTTTGAAGACATAGATATTTATGGATTCTTTGAATGATTCATTAGGATCCTGATCACTCCTGGGGGCTTTGTTGATAGATTTCTTTTTTTTTTTATTTTTTTTATCTTGTGAAGCATTTCGTTGAGTGCTCATGTCAGCGGGGTTAGAATTGTCACTTTTGCTAGATTTTGATGTCGAGGATACTTGAGTTCTCTGGTTTTACTGCGTGACCTAATACCAAATCTGAGGATACTATTCAAGGATTAAGAAGAAAAAGTAAAGAAGCAGATACTGAACAGAAGAAGAGACGTATTAAAGTATCAATACCAGAAATCAAACCGTATAGATGATAAAAAGGTGAACAGAGAAAATAGTTAAGTTTTACGACAATCATGACGTAGAGAAAAAAAGAAGCGTCATGTGATTTTTTAAGGGGTAACCAATCAAATCGCAAGATATTAAATATTAATAGCATTTCGGTTAGGTTTTATCACATATTAATAGTAATAGACTAAACTTATAGTAAAGTTTCGCAAGGAACATTCCACTGAAAGCTAGTTTCATAAGCAAAATTTCGAGATATAAGGCTATTTTTCAAAAATAAACGTTCATTTTGGATCAAATCAATCCAAATATAATTCGAATTTAGTTGATCCGTATTATCACTAATGCACTAACACACTACTTTATTTGCAAGATAAATGTTATCTCTTGAAGAGAAGAATTTGAAGTAATTAAAAATTAGAATATATTTTTATGTTTTTAAGTGATTCGATTATTAAGATATAATAATAATGCATATAACTATGAGATATATTTAAGTGATTCAATTATTAAGAGATAACATATATGATATATAACACATGATATATAATATATATATTAAATTAAAGTACTAAAACATAAAAAAAAACTTATCATTACTCTTTCTACTATCATTATCATTTGATAATATAAAAATAATAATTTATTAGATATTTATACCTAGTTAAAAAAGAGATTATTATAAATAGATAATGAAAGATTAGTAAATTTAATTTTGAAAAGTATAATATAAGAATTAAAATCATATACAGTGGCAATCAAAAATAATGCAACGCTTAAATTTTTTATTAATTATAATTAGTAAAATACGTATTTTTCCT